GTATCAGTATGCCTAAATGTTCCCTACTTCCTAAATCTTAACTCTGTTGTTCTTTTTATCACATTGGATAAAAGTTGCCGAACCGTCATGTTGCTAAAGCTAAAGACTTGGGCCTTATTCCAGACAGATCCTTCCCTTTAATCTATGGTCAGTGCCATTTATCCACCTTCTTAACATACTTATGCCCCTTGTTTAATCCCTTGGAAAATCCCCTAGTTTAGACCCTTATCATCTCTGATTTAGATGGCCTCCAGGAACCTCCCTCCTAATACATAAGGAATCATAGGAACTATAGAGTTCCCTGGAGATAACATGGGAGACTATCTCGATGGCCTAAGTTAGAAATACCACCAGAAGCACAACCCAGTGAAGGATACAATCAGTAAGCTGGACTCTGTTAAAATGAAACACTTATGTTCTGGGAAAGACAAGCCACTGACAGTGGAGGATGTTTGCCAGAGACACATCTGATGAATGACCGCTGTGCAAGATCTGCAAGATAATTGCTCAAACTCAGCAATACGGAATGAACAACTTAAACAGCCCAAAGATGTTAACAGACGCCTCACCAAAGGCACACAGGTGGCGAACAAGTATATAAAATCATAAGTCACTGGGAATATGAAAATTAAAATAACATACGGCCACTTACCTGTTAGGATGGCCAAAGCCCAGAACACACAACACCAAACACTATTATTGCAAAAGTAGGCAGCAGGAGCTCTAGTTCTGAGAGCTGAAGGGAGCACACGATGGGGCAGCCATGTGAGAAGGCAATTTGGCACTTTCTTGCAAAACTAAACATAATCCTAACCATATGATCCGGCAATTGCCCTCCTTAGTATTTACCAAAAGGTGTTGAAACTTACGTCCATACAAAAACCCGCACACAAATGTTTACAGCAGCTTTGTTCATAATTGGTGAAACTTGGAAGTAACCAAGAAGCCTTTCCATAGATGAAGGGATAAACAGTGTTACACCCAGAAAGAGGGACATTATTCAGTGCTAAAACAAAATGAGCTATCAAGATTCTACAACAGCAAGGGGGATGGGGGGGGAGAGACTTAAAGAAAACTTAAATGTAGATTACCAAATTAAATAAACCAATTTGAAAAGGCTACATTGTATATGATTCCAACTATATGACACTCTGGAAGTTAAAACCACGAAGACAAATATTTGCATATTCCCAACGACATATGATTTCAATTTGCATACTCCCAATGACATATGATGTCACATACTTGTTGTTAGGAAAGATAGATGAACAGGCAGAGCACAGAGGATTTGAAGGCATTGAAACTATTCTGTGTGACTGTGATGGCAAATACATGTCATGTGATTATCTGTACAACAGAGAACCCTAACAAAATATGGAATTAGGGTGATTATGGTTATACCACTGTGGTTGGGGATGTCAGTAATGGGACAAGTTGATCATATGTATGAACAGGGGCATAGGTGAAATCTTCAAACCATCCTATATGATATAAACCTAAATTAGTTCTATAAAGAGTCTATTAAAAGCATTTCGGGGAGAGGAGCTGGGAAGATGGCTCCGTGGATAATTGCTCCACAAGTGGGAGGATTGGAGTTTGGATCCTCAGCGTCTAGGAACATGTCAAGCAGGGAGAGAAGCCCATATCTAATCTCAGTACTCTGTAGGCAGACTCAGGGATCCGCAAAGGAGCTGCCTAGCTAGACTAACTGCATTGATCCACTCTGTGTTTAGGCAAGAGACCTGAGTCAATTTTAAGGTGGAAAGCAGTCAAGGAAGACACCCACTGCCAACCTCTGTGTGCAACATGCACACATCTGCACATGCACCTGTACACACATGTGCACCCACATGCATATGCATGTGTACCTGTACATACATGTGCCATCCATATGCATATACATGTGCACCTATATACACATGTGCACCCACATGCATATGCATGTGCACCTGTACATGCATGTGCCATCCATATGCATATACATGTGCACCTATATACACATGTGCACCCACATGCATATGCATGTGCACCTGTACATACATTTGCACCCACATGCATATGCATGTACATACACCACACACACACACACACACACACACAGCATTGCACGATACAGGGATATGTCTCAGTAAGCAAAGTACTTACTGAGTCCAAAGCAAATTTGAAAGCAAGAGAGTCCACATTAACTCCCAGAACCCATATAAGGAACCAGGTATGGCACACACTCACCCCACAGACAGCAAAGCAGAGGCAGGGGAATCTCTGTAGATCACTTGCCAGCTAGCCTATAATCTATTTGGCAAGATCCAAAGGGGGTGGGGCAGGGTGTCACACACACAATCAGAAGCACTAACAGCAGTGGTGGCAGACCTAGTTCTGTTGTAGCAAAAGCACACTTTTAGTTTTAATGTTCTGTTTCTGCATGACCCAAATCTTGCCAGCCCTAAAAAGCAGTGTTATTGCATGCCTATTCTTTCTATTTAAGATGCCTCCTATTGCTCCTTCATTCTTCCTCCCTAGAAAAACTCCTCATTCATATTCAATTGTGGGGGAAGCATCAACACTCATCCAAAGCTGTCTTCAACTCTCCCAGGAGCTGCCTCCTTCCCCACACTTCCATTCTAGCATGATGTCATCGAGGCATAATTGTTTGCAGGTCTGCCTCCTCAAGAGCGAGGGCTGCGTTTCCTCATCACTTGGAACACACTACCTCATGTGTATTAGGATGCAGGAGGGGCTGGGTGATTGCTTACCTGCATGACTGCCTTGCACAGTGCGGCACTGTCAGTAGAGAGGCACAAAGAGAGATACCCAATCGGTGAGGAACAGAATAATCTTTGATGTGCAAGCATCCTGTCTGTCGTTTGAAATCAGGCCCAAGGTCTTCTTCTTTCATGAGGCTTTTCTTAATACTGTCAGTCTCCATCTGTGCCCCAAATGGTAGCATCCTGTATGGTACTCCATCACACATTTTCACGGCATTCCTAATGCTTGTTTTCCCAACAAGACAAAAAGTTCTTTGGGTATAAGTGGTATGCTACATTTCTTTAAGTCTAGAATGCGTATGAGATAGCTCCCCAGAACAGCAACAGGTGCCCTGAGCAACCTCAGTATAGACTGCTATCTTCCTGAGGCCAGCCCAATTCTAGATGACTGTGCTAGAAGTATTAAAATGTAGCTTTAAGACTACAAGTAAAGGGTGGCTTGTGAAAGTCTCAAGCCATGAAAGTGTAGGATTCATAAGTATGGTATTTTCCCAACATCCATCATAAATATTCTTCAGCACTAGTTTAACATGAATTCTTCCTAAGAAAACCTAACAACTAAACAAGTAAGTTCTGGGTATGGTAGTGTATACCTATAATCCAAGCACTCATGGGGTCCAGTAGGTTCTGGGTATGGTAGTGTATACCTATAATCCAAGCACTCATGGGGTCCAGTAGGTTCACAGACAGCCTGGGAGACATAGTGAGACCCTGTCTCAAAGAGTACAACAAAACCCATAGACAGGAGTAACTGGGGATCATAACCCTACCTTTCGCTTCTGTTTCTTTGCTGTTTACACATGTGTACCCTATCTGTCACCATCCTTGTCCCTGCTCTGTAAGAAGCTCAGTAGTACTGCGCATTCAGTCTCTTACCCTCAGACGTTTCGTGGAATATTTTAAGACAGAGGAAGTGGGCGGTGGTGGCTCATGCCTTTAATCCCATCACTTGGGAGGCAGGGGCAGGCCAGCCTGGCCTACAGAGCAGTTCCAGGACAGCAAGAAAGAAACCCTGTCTCCAAAAACCAAAGGGGGTGGGGACAGGATGAAGGGAAATAAAGAAAAGAAAAAGAAGAGGAGAAAGAAATAATGAAGTTGGGAAGGGGTCGTGTTATGGGGGACACAAGGGAGGTGGGGGAGGGAAATGGGGTTGGTTATGATTGTGTATATGGACATCTTAAAGACAAATAGCCTTGCTGCTCCTGTTCCATGTACTGATGAAATAGTTTCTCGGGACAGGTGCTAAAAGGCTTCATGCAATGACTAGGTACCAGATGTAGTTATTCTGCTTGCCTGTGCAGACATACTCTGAGACATCCCTCCTCACCATACCCCACCAGCAGCACATGCATGTAGACACACAGCCTACCCAAAATGGATGTCAGAGATGCACAGAAAACTAAGGCTATTGGCAAGAAGGAAATGATCTCAGTAAGGCTCACATTGTTTTTAAAAATCACAGCCAGAGGGGAGTCAAGATGGCATGTAAGAAAAGGCTCTTGCCACCAAGCCTTATAACCTGAGTCCATCCCCGGGATCCAGGGCCAGAGGAAGAGAATGGACTCCAGCAATTTGTCCCCTGACCTCTATACGAGCAGCAGGGCATGTACAGGCACACAGGAACACATGCACATAGGATAAATGTATTTAAAAAATAGTTTAAACAGGGCCAAGAGCAGGGAGCCTCTGACAATACAATGATTAAATGTAATATAGCACCTGAAATATGATTCTGGGGACAGAAAGTATGTTACATAAAAATATGAATAAGAGGTGAATTTTAGCTAGCAGTTATAAATTGGTTCATTAATTGTAAGAAATGTACCTTCCTAAGATAAGAACAACCTAGACACAGGGTATCTGGAAACTCACTACACCATGGGCTCCGTTTCTCTATAATTGTAAATCTAATGTCCTAAAAACTAATGTCAATCTGGCAAAGAAGAGAAAATGCCCAGTAGAACATTCCTGGCAACTGAAATAGGAAGGAGTTGACTTGACAGTGACCCTTCTTGAAAGAAGTGACTGTTGTCAAGCACAATGGCAGTAGCTTGAGCACGGTGCCTGTAGCTTGATCACGGTGCCTGCAGCGATGCCGAGTGCTTGCTCGCTTTCCCAGGTTGAGGTTTTGGCAGGCGGCTGCAGCATTTGTGCACTGATTATAATTTTGAGATGCATTGTCAGTAACCAGGGTGCATAATGGATCTTCAACTCTAATTACTTTTCTCTCCACAGGTGTCTGGAAAGGGTCCAGACGGAAGCACACACAGCCTCCGCTTTGAAGGGATGGAGCGGCAGTATGCATCCTTACCCAGGTAGGGTAGAGAGGGGTTGCCCATCCTCAGATCACCCACAAATGAAGCTTTTAGAGATATCTGCACGAGCTAGAAAGTTGGCTTTGAGATCGGGGAATATGTTAGAGTTTTGCCTCACTGCCTTCTGCTGCGGCTCTGCTGCCATCTTCACAACTGTGCTAATAATTGAAACACTTGAGGGTTGTTTTTTAAGGGGAGAAAATAGTATATCACTGCAATTGAACATGTCAGCAAGAATATTGGATACTGAATGGAAATCCTAAGCCATTGCTATAAAAAAAAAAGGTATTGAACATCCTGCATCAAGCTTAGAGACAATAAAATGGTAAATCCTGTGTCCTAGAAGTTACCCGAAAGAAAGGGCAGGCTGGCCTTAACCTTGGAGCCTCGGGTGTGTGTTAAAAGGAGGGAGAGAAACATGAGCCTGGAAGGTGTTTTTAGATTCTGACTGTGTCCTTGAGGCAGTAAGCAAGTATTGCTAAGAGGCCCAGACAAGTGGGGAAATAGAAAGAACTTCGTGGGAAAAGTTTGCTTGGCCAAGCTGACCTAACTCGATCCCGGTATGCTGTAATGAGACACCCCTGATAACGAGATACAGTTCACAAAGTTTGTGGCTATTATCTGAGAGGCATAGAGTCCAGTCTTGCTATTCTACAATCAGGAACGCACGACAAAGAGGAGGCCTCTCCAAGATGACTCACAGCCCCCCTTGCATGGGAGTCTGATAAGTTGAGAGTGTGAGAATTAGTGAGTTCAGAAAAAACACAGAAAGGGGAATGCCAGCCAGCAGCCGGAGGTCACTGAGAATCACCTTAGAAAGGGCAGAGCAGGCTTTGTTGTCATCAGAGGAGTTGCAGAGCTCTGGAGATGCAGTTGCCATTGAGTGACATGTGGGCTCCACTTCTGCAGGTGAAGTGACAAAAATAATATCAACCACAGCCTATGTGACCATCTGCTAGAAAAAGTATGTTAGGGCTGGACAGATGGCTCACCCTTTGCAGTGCTTGCCACACAAGCAAGCATCAAGCAGGAGGACCGGTACCCAGGTCAATGTCAGGTGGGTGTGGTGTCCCATCCAACATTCCTGAACTCCTAAGGCTGAGGATCCCAAAAGCAAACTGGCTAGCTAGACCAGCTGCAACTGCAAGCTCTGTGTTCCACTGAGATGCCTTGCCCTAAAGAGGAAGGTGGACTTCAAGGAAGGAAGACTCCTGATGTCAGCCTCTGGCTTCCCCATGCACATCTGTTCTGCATGCACATGAACAGATGTGCATGTACCCATGTAAGTGTACCCACACACACACACACACACACACACACACACACACCACATACATGTGCACCACACACACACACACACACACACATGAAAAATAAGTTGATTTTCAGAAACAATAAAGCCTTATATTTACCACTGCGCAAGTTTTAACATTGTCCCTGGCTGGATCCTGGAAGTACAGGCTTTAAAAGCTCTGATGCAAGCTGTATTTTATGTATCACCCTGTTCCCTTTATATGATATCATATAAGGTTTGGTTTACTTTTCCCCCCTCATCTATGATTAGTTTCCTGCCCCTATTTTTCCCCTAGCTTAGCATTTTGTTTTCATTTTGAAAAATGGAGTCATTTCCAAAATTCATGTGAAATATAAGGTTTCCGGCTTTCACTGGTGAAGTCTATGGAAATTGTGGTTAAGGCAAAGAAAGGAGTAAATTCTTAGGGGAAGTGTGGAGAGGAGGGGGAAAAATCATTTTAATGTCTTCCTGGCCAGCTTGCATCCTGAGTTTAGAAACTGCTCTTTTTTATGTAAATCAAAAACACAGAAATAATATTTAAGGTTCTGTAAATCTCATTCATTTATGAATTCCCCTGTTCCAGTGGTCACCTACAGTATAGAGAGGTCCCAGAGTGTGGGCAGTAGACATGGTCCTAGTCTGTCCTTGAGATCCTCTTTGGTAGTGGGCATAAGCAGAAGGCCTGTTCTCATAATGATGAAATGCACAGAGTAATAGCTATTAAGACAAAGGCCTCTAGGTTTCCAATCCCTGTTTATTTTCCCAAATTAGTCCTGAAATGCCCAATCATGGCTGACTCCAAATAAGTCTGTTTCAGAATAAACACTGCTGAAGGAGCTCCATGACAAAGACTGTGTGAGGATGTTGTTTGTGGCTCAGGAGCTATCAGCACAATGTATGAGTTGGCAAAAACCATCCCAGCTCTGAGACATCAGTGTGGCTGAAAGGGAGGCATCTTAGACTGAAAATAATGCTGGCACCAAGTCCCTTCCCACACACAATGATAGCCCTGATTAGCTGCACGTGCAGTCGGACCTCTATGGCTGCCTGGCAAACAGAAGTAGCCATGATGGAGCTCAGGCAGATGTGCGGGAAGAGTACCTGGACATCAGGATTTTAGTCAGGAGCACAAACCCAAGTTTCCAACTGGGGATCCAAAGGGAAAACACACAGATTCCTCTCAGGTTGGGTGCACTGTCCCTGGGGCTTACATTTGCCCGGTGGGAAGCAGAGGTGAAGTGATTCCTGCCCTGCTGGCCTCTGAGATGTGCTGATCCAGGCCTGCTGAAAGCTGGTGACCTGGTTTTCTCCATCTCTGCCTGGGGAGAGATTCTCCTACCCCCTGCTCTCTCTGTTTGCCAGGTGTGGGAACCAACAGCTCTTTAGACGGCAGGTCCTTCTTTATCACTAAGGCAGGAGAGTTTAAAACTTCGTGGAATTAATTTTTTAATCAAAGATAGGACAGGTCTGTCTACAGAAAGTCAGTCTGTCTATAGAAAGTCACTAGCCATCCTTACAGAGTAGGATGTAGTCTGCCACTTGCTGACTTGGCTCCCGGGTTCTTCATTAAGATGTCGAAGGAGTTTTTAAGGTAAAGTCAGTAACCTTGACTTACGATGTCAAATTTGGAACATGGATAGAAAACATCTAGCGTCCTCATCTAGGGGCTCATTCCTACTTAGGGGCTTTTGGGGAACTGGATCATCTTTAAAGCAAGCCCAAGCAGGCGGCTGTCAAGCTAAATGACACCACACAAAAATAAAGCAGAACCCTGGCCAGCGCAGGCAAAGACAATTCCTAGCACTGGGTAGTTAGGAGCTTGCCTGAGGCTAAGGGCTAAGCAATGCTAAGTGTTATTGTTAAGCAATGTTAAATCTTCTGCCTCCAAAGGAAAATGACTTTATTTCTTTCCTCCTGTGGCTGCTGTTTCTGGAAAGCTGGGTCTGCTTGTAATACAACCTCATTAGCAAACCCCAGGCCTTGACTGGGGCCAGTCTTACCAGCCGATGCAGTCCCCAATTTGCTTTGGTAGTAAACAATGATATCAGCATCCCCTTCGCCTTGCCTGACACAAATTACTACTCGCCCATCACTGCAAGTGAGTGACTGTTTTCTGGGCTGTTCTAACGAGTGAACACGGAGGTACACATTTTCACTAAGGGCTTCTTTTCCCTCCAGTCTGCCAGCCCCTTACAATTCTCCCAGGCTCCATTCTCATCTCACAGGCCCTTCAGCTGTGGTCTCTCTGTTCACCCATCTCTCGAGCCTCCATCATTCACCTGACCCAATCCTGGCCCCCTGGGATCCCATTATCCTATCCTCTGCAGGTGGCTCAGTGCATCAACACATGGTGTTGTTCTTCCAGGTTTGCAATCAAGTATGAGGTCCTAAGGAATGAGCAAGACACACTGCATCTCGTCTGTGGTCCCCAGCGCATGGAAGGTTGCTGGAGAAACTCATAAAACCCCCTTTATCAGTTCCATTCCAAAATTCACATTAGACGGCACCAGCTGGGCCCCTGCTGCTGGCCAGCGTTCCTTTTAATCATGTGATCAACTCCCTGGACTCTCCCACAGTGGATGTTCAGACCCTGTTCTACCAAGAAGATGACTAAACATTCCCAAGCCTAGTCTCTAGAGATGACCTCACTTCCTTTCCGTTACGACCCCGAGGCATCTGACATTAGCCCTCCACTCTGCTCCCTGCAGCTCAGTCTGCTGTCTTCTCCAATACACACTTCCCAAAGGACATAGGAGGGTCTAAGCTTGGAGCCAGGCCATGTGTGTAGCCCCAGCTTAGTCACTTACCACCTGTGTGGCCGTGGCCTGTGATCCAACTGCTCCAGGCTCTGCTTCCTCAATTGTAAATTGGGGATGACATCAGGGTCCCCATCTACTGGTGGTGGCATAAGGATCAAATGCATGACAGTAATGCAATCAGGGAATATTTGAGGGATTTTTTTAGTTCATTTTTTATATGCTCCCCAGGGATGAGATTTTTCTTTCTATAATGAAGCAAGCCCACTCCCACTGTGTCTCTGGGACCTGAGAACACTGACTTTCTGCATCTCTTTAAACAGAACTCTCTTCTGGCTTTCTTCTCTTTGCCTATGACTGTAAATGCAGAGGCTCACCTGCACAGCTTGCTGGATGTCCCTTGCACCCTGTGGAAAATGCAAGATTAACACCTGCTTGGAAATTTGCTGAGGGTCCCAATGCAAAAAGCACTGGTTGACCCTGGGGAAATCCCAGGTGTCCCGACAACAGAGAACAAGATAGCCCAGCAAGCTAGTATGGATTGAGTGGCAAGCTATGCTAACAGGCAATCTAGGAGACAGTGGTTACTATAGATAGGTGATCCATATAGCAGATCCACAGTGTCCACTTGGTTCTAAACAAGAGGACCGGGCCTCTGTCCAGCAAGACCTAAGGACAGGTCTAGGATAATACCCAAGGTAGAAGGCTAAGCATGCTATTCTGGCTGCTGGAACAGTGTGAAAGCAACACTCTTCATCTTCCTGGGAGGAGCCCCAAATATGTTGCCTGGATCTGGGCACTGTTGTCTCAGGACAAGGATGCCAAACATGCCACTCTAGGGCATATGGCTTAGGAAGACGGGACTATCTCCACAAACTTGACTTTTGCCCTCAACTGTTGACCAGCCTCATACAGTGTCCACACTAGAGAAACATGGCCTACACATTTTG